TGTGCTGGCCATGGGGGGGGGGTAGGGTGGGGGGAGGGGGAAGAGGATTAGGGGGAGAGGGAGGAGGAGGAGGAGGAGGACCTCTGTTGTAAGGGTTAAAAATGGGATTGGCGGTATTTTGCTATGGCACAACTGGACGTGTGAAGGCACAAGAGAAAAAATAAAATGTCTGCAAGGCCAAGGGAGAAAAAGCTTGTTTACCAGCAATAAAACAAGGATGGGGAGTGATATTGAGCATTAACTTGAGATCTGGACAGTGCTAGAGCGAAGTTCTAGGACTTCAAAACTGAGGCTCACCCAGAGACGTCTGTAAAGTGATGTTTTAAACAATCAGGCATCAGAAGCAGAAAGGACACCGACGTCCGTCGGAGAGATGCTGCGGTTAGCCCGAAGTGCAGATTCGTGGCTTCAGGGCGATGGGCTGGCAGGATAAGGCCACTGTGGGAGAGGCAGGACCATCTGCCACAAAGGCAAGGGCCGAGAGGTCAGGCCCTGGCCTGGGGGAGGTGTCACCGCTTTGGGGATGGAGGTTGTGGGTTGTGGTAGTAGCTTTCTCCAAGGCTTGGGTTCTAGCAGCCCTTAGACAATAGCAAAAGAAGGGAAATTGAAAATGTCAAGGTTTTTACCAGTTCTTCTGCACTGTTACGGTGAAAGCAGAGGCTACGAGGCGGAATAGGTTAGGAGAAATGTGTCCCCACCCCCAGGTGACCCAGAGGAATTAGAAGGCAAGTGGGCTTCCACAGACATTTGGGGCTCTCCCTCTGATATTAGGGGAAGTCTCAGCCCCTCTGTTGACAGGTGGGCTACATTTGGTGAACGGAAAACAATGAAGAAGTCTAGGCATGGCAGCTTCCGTCATCCCCTTTCTCAAAGTAGTCACAGGGGTATACAATGTGACATGGTGGTGGTGTGACGGAAAGTTCCTTAAAAGCACCAAAAACCCAATTCAGCAGTCATGTGCCTGTTGAGGTTGGTGAAAATAGAGCTCTGTGCGTGCATGCGTGCGTGCGTGTGTGTGGTGGGCAAGGACCCAGAAGGTGCACCCCGACACCACTGAGTTGGTAAATTGCTGGAAAAACCTGAATGTCCCTCAGCAGAGGAGAGGTTAGGCAAGTCATGATCCATTTGGGCAATGGAATACTATACAGCGGTTAAAAGGGGGTAGCTCTTTGAATCAGAGTTTGGTCAGGATGTCAGAAGAGCCTTCGCGTATTCCATGACTGATCCAGGATGGGTACACAGCCCGATGGGAGCCATGAGAGGCTGGGAGAAATGCTACCGCAAACAACACTACGTAGTTTTGTACTGGTCTCCGTTTTCCAAATGCAACAGTTTCTCATATGCAGGGGTGGGCAAAAATAGGTTAATACTAATAGTAAATAGTACACGAATAAACAATAATAAACTCTCTTGTACTCAGAACTGTAAACCTACTTTTGCTCATTCCTGTATTCACATACATAAAATCATCTGGTGACTCTTGTTAAAATGCAGTCTCTGATTCAGTAGGTTTGAAATGGGGCCTGAGATTCTGCGTTTGTATTAAACTTGCAAGTGGTGTTGATGCTGCTGGTCCTAGGACCACACTTTGAGGAGCAAGTGGTTTACAGAGGAGTAGAACTGCGAGGTTGTAAGGATGTGCATCTTCAACAATACTAGATATTGCCAAATCGCTCTCTTAAGTGTTTGCACCAATCCACACTCCTATCAGCAGCTCAGAAGTCTCTACAATGTTATACCTTCAATGTCTGTTATTGTCGGATTTTAATTTTTGCCAATTTATTGGGCATGAAGTGGTATCTTGTTATATTAATTTGCCTTTCACGAGTATTACTGGATCTCTTGAGTTTCTTCTTGTATAATGATTCTCAACACAAACTCATATTTTGGGCAAACAAAATGTGCTCATTCATCCATTTCATTCTTTAAAGCACCCTTCTTAAAAAATTCCTTCATATTTGCAAGGCTTTCAACTGCTCCTTTTTAAAGTGCTGGAAATAAAAGAGGAAAGGCAGAACTGAAAGAATGAAACTGGAAGGGAGCAGAGAGCAGCAGCCACCATTGAGCCAGGTGGAAGGATGTCTTAGTGTTTTTTGTGCGCTCTTCCCTAGCAGGGTATGGGAAAAGGAACCGGAAGCTCAGGGACGGGGTGGGGGGGGGCGGGGTAAAAGGTCTGTATCTTTTCTGAGTACTTCATCTTGATTCTTAGGGGAAGGAATTTCACTTACTCAAATAATTCTGCCCAAATTAAGTCTTTGCCGTCTAAAATGGTTACGCTCTATTCCACGGATTACATGTGTATAAGAAAAATGGGAGATACATGTATTGGAATGGTAATGCATGTGTATTGTAGAAAATGCTGATAAGCAAAAACAAACAAACAAACAGCCCAAAATCCACAAACTAGTTCTAGATTTTGGTTTTCTCACTTAGGAAATGATCATGGTGATAGCATCTAAATCATAGTCCTGTGAAGATTCAATTAGCAAGAGATGTAAAGTGCTTAGGACATTGTCTGACACACAGCAAAAGCTCAGTAAAACCAGAGCTGTTGGAGGTGCTGTCAGACGATGGTAGAACAGGGAACCCTCAACCCTCCCTTCTCCATGGACACTTGGATTTAATAGCAATCCTTGGACCAGTGGCCTGTGTGGAGAATCTGGACCCCAGTTAAGAGATTCTTGTACTCCAGGCTAGTGCAAAGCCAAACACATCCCAGCCCGGCAGGGAAGTTCGTGGCTCTCTCCCAGAGCCCGTCTCCCTGGCACAGTGCGGTGCAAGGATGGGGAAACACCCAATCCTCGTCTCCTCCCTGGGGAGGAGCGCACACCTGGCATTCTGACTTTTAGGGAGACTGCCCGGTGGGGTGGGTTTCTGGCTTGCCTGAATCCACGTAGGGGCAAGAATCAGGAGCCAGGTTGGGAGCTTGGCCTCTGAGGACAAAGGCAAGCAACACGCCCCGGAATCTGCAGTCCCGCAGGCAGACACTAGGTGGCCCTCCGCTACCATGGCACACTGTGACACTGGATTTTTTGACAACTTACCAAAAAACCCCCAACAAATCTGAGCTATTACTTTTATCATCCTCCCCCATTGAATACTTTCCCCCAAATTGGACAACACTGTACATGCTATTTTATAACAGGCTATTTTGCCCACTGACTACAGATACTTATAACTTACAGATACACATAACTTATTCCAAGTTATTCCCTATTCTTGTTAGGTCATTTAGAAAGACTGTGAAGTATTCCAATATATGAATCTACCACAGTTAACCAATTTCCTGTTGTTGGAGAAGAGGTTGAATTATTTTACCCTTATGAGTAATATGGTGTAACTAAATTCTGTGACGCCTTTTAAATAGTTTTAATATCAGCCTCTCTCTCCCCTTTTAATCAGCTCTCAGCTGTTACACTTCTCCCCTTTTAATCTTTGATCAGATAATCAAGCTAGTCAAATCAGTTTACTTGTAACACAGCCTTCTTTGCAATCCTGTCACTTGTTCTGCGTCCGAGGTGAAAGGGACAGCTCTTGCAGCAGTGTGAAGGGAAGCTGTTTTTGCTTTTATGGGGGTGTACCTTTCCGTTAGACCAGCTCTCCTAGAACTGGTTCTTGCCTCACTGAATGAACCCAATGCTCTTGCCTTTTCCCTTCAGGGTCTCGACTCAATCTACCTTCATGCCTGGCCACCACCCCATTGTGCCTGGTTCTGGTCTTCTGAAGCCCTGCCGCCCCTTAGCCTAGTGTTGGGGGTTCCTAGCCTGCTTGGATCCCCGATACCAACAGGCACGCACACGGCTGCCTTCTACTTGGTGAACGTTTTCTTTAGTTTCTCATACTTTCAAGTTACCCATAGCACTTATTTGCGTTTTGACAACTGCCCAATTTGTCAACTTTGGATCTCATTAAATTTGTATTTTGTGTGTGTGCGCGCGTGAAAACATTTGTCAGTTATTAAACCAAAACTCCCAAGTCACATATTACTAAGTAGTCTAAATGTAGCTGGATAGGATCCCGTTTCCAAAACTTGCCTGAAGGACCTCGTGGAGCACTTCATTAAAAAACACGTAACCCAATGGACATATTATTTAATAAGTATAGGGGTGATCACGAAAATTTAGAAACACTAGCCCCTTACCTCCATACACAGAGCTTCCAGGACACTGGGAAGTTCAACTGGAACCCAAGGGAGCCTGGTAAGCCTGTAACCAACCTATAGTAGTGTAGGGTTCATTCCACCAGGGTAGGAAAATTCTAGGAGTCAACTGCAAGTTCGCATACACATTGAAAAGTCTTTAGAGCTTGAGAACAAAGCAGGAACTTAGGGGGTCTATTCATCATCTCTGCACGAAGCATGGTTTCAAACATAGACTCCTTGGGTGTAGATTCTATCCCAAATTCGGGGGTTCCCAAACTTGTTAGTTGGAGCCATATAGTTCGCCAAAAAGTATAGCAGAGAATCTGGATCCTCTGAGGACTATAACGCTTTGCATATGTTAAAATTACTTGGAGTGGATATCTTTTATTAGATAAGGTTTTATATTCACTTAAAAAAATCAGCTCAGTACCAGATCTGTGTTAGGAAACTGTTCCAGCAGTGCTGTGTAATTTTTGAGACTTGAGAAAGGAACACAGAGCCCTGACATCTACGCTTCAACTCATGCCAGGTCTTTGGTTTCTTGGATCAACCATTTATTAGATATCAGGGTGCTATCTCCTCCATCAGAGGACAAGGACATCCAAGCATGTCTAAGAATTCTAATAAAGGCTTTAGAAACAGAGCTATGAATCCTGACCCCTCTACATACACCATTTATTCACATGATCACAAAGTCTATTCCTCTTACAATCCAACTATTTGATGGGATAATGTAAGGAATAAATAGAATTATATAAAAATTAGGCTAAGATAAAAATTAGCTTAAAATTGTTGAAGAAAACTCAAATGGTGGTCCATGAGACAGCGAAAACTGAGGGGGGAACAAAGCTGAGGGGGGAAAACTGAGGGGGGAACAAAATCATGAGGGGAAAATACCTCGTGGGTCCTAAAATTAAGTTTTCACTCTTAAAAAAACCTGTTATTTCTCTTTTAAAAGTATCTTCTTTTACATGAAGGGAAGTCATGCTACTGATGTTTATTTGGTAAGCTAAATTTAAGCATTTTCCCCCTAGTGGTTCTAGAAATTATCTTCTTTAAAAAAAAATGTTTACAGGTAAAACTTTAAAGAGTAAGATAGTAAAATGATGTAGAAAGAAAGAAGCACTTTATTCAGTGCACACTGACAGACTTTTTTAGTTCCATTCATAATTGCAGTAAAAGAAAATCTGCTGTGTATTGTTTTACTTAGTTAGGCTCAAGAAAAAATGATAAATTTCAAAACCCTACATTTATTATTGAAAGCTCTGTTCCTTATAAATATATATGTATATACATACGTGTGTGTTTATTTGCTCTTTTATATGAACCACTGAAAATAATTTTAAAAGTCATTCTTTTCTGTATCTAAAATTGTCCTTTCAAATATTCAGAAGTTCCACAGGTGGTGGCTTCAATGGAATTTTCCCCAGAGTAAATTTCTTGGACTGAAACTGCTCTAGTTCTTCTGCTGTTAGTTGATGCTTGGGCGTGAATAATTCACTATCTGTTGTCGTGCTGCCATTGGAGATGGGGAGAGAGGTGGATGTGCTGCTACTTCCGAAACTGTCACTGGGTGACTTGGAAAAAGCAGTGTGAGACTGTGAGCCCGGGTTTCCAAAGCCTGCCACAGGACTGCTGCTTCCGAAGGCCAGGGCCGCTGGAGCTCTGACGGGGCCTGCTGCCACGGGAGCTGGGAATCCTGAAAACCCGGCTGAGCCAAAACCGGAGGCTGCAGGGGTTTTGAATGAAAATGAAGCGGCAGATGTGATCTGGGGTTTCCCAAAGCCAGGAGCTGGAGTAGAAGTAGTGATGGCAGGACTGCTGGAGGGAACAGCTCCAAATGCCGGCATCTTCCCGAACACAGAAGGGCCTCCAGAAGGGGCGGTGGCAAATCCAGAGCTTGTTTTAAAACTAAAATTTTGAGCATTATCACTCATGTTGTTATTCACTGGAAAACCTACAAAAAAAAAAAAAAAACCCAGAAAAAGAAAAAGAAATCTAGTATAGTCAGAAATGTAGCCATGTTTACCCCCACCTCACTCCCCTCATTTTCCCCTTGTTCCTGCCATGGTTGGATGTTGTGAAGAGAGTTGATTACTGGAAGGGAGAAAAGTGAAAATGAGAACAAACCCACTCAGCCCTGCTGTTCTGTCCTCCTGCTACACTGACCGCATTTGCACCATGCGTTACTTTGCTGAAGGAGGCAGCTCTGAGGAACCCCAGGGATCAGCGAGCGCACTTACACTTTTGGCTTGCCCCTTCCTCACCACGTTCTTATAGGAGCTGTCACTTGAGGATGATACTGTGCTGTCACACACAGTGACAAGAAAGTCCCCAAAGGTGCTGCTACCACAGCTAAGAAAGCTGTGGAAAGCCACTCCTAAAAGATACTTCTAAAGCTTGAGCCACAGGGTCTTTCAAAGAACAGCCCAGCCCATTCTGGCCCTTCCTCTCACTCATGCTTGATGAATCACATTCCTTGAAGCTCCATTATGGAAGGTGGTAGAAGTTGCAAGGGTGACCTAAAATGGAACTTAATGTATCTTAAAATGGTACTTAACATACCTTCACGCTTTATGACTTGAAACCTATAAAATCCTATTTTTCAAAATCAGTTAAGTCCTGCATCACTTTATCGCTTACCTGGTGACCCAGGCGCTGCTGTCTGTGTACTGCCAAATCCAAACGTAGGTGCTGCTTGATTTATCCCATCTTTTATGTCCGCGAGCTATAAAAAAGGGCAAATAATAAAGTACCTGAAGAATAATTCTCAAGTACCTTTCTATATACTTTAGAGCCAATTCAATTTCTAAAATATGCACTTACAAATATGAAGTTAAATGTTTAACATAGAAAAATGCCCACAATATGAATATGTATAGAAAAAAGTACACCAAACTCAAAGATTAAGAGTAATTGCTGAGGAATTACGATTTTAATTTTATTTAGGTTTTTAAATACTTTCTAGCCCTGGCTGGTGTGGCTCAGTGGGTTGAACACTGAGAACCAAAGGGTCACTGGTTTGATTCCCAGTCAGGGCACATGCCTGAGTTGCAGGCCAGGTCCCAGCAGGGGACATGTGAGAGGCAATCAATCACTACATCTCTTGCACATTTGATGTTTTTCTTCTTCTCTGTCTCTCTAAAATGCAAATAAATAAAATAGTTTAAAAAATAAATATTTTCTAAATTTCTCCAATGAACACATATTGAAATCAGAAAAATAATTTTTAGCAATACATGTCAGTATCAATAGGCTGATGTGCATCTATACAGAAACCCTGATACTAAGTAAGGGACACTACTAAAACTTACCACCAAAACCCACTCAGCATTTCCTATTGGCTGCAAATACTTTATGCTCTTGCTATTTCTTGCTATAGAAATGTCTTCTATCTTTGCTTACTGAACTCTTAATCTCCTTTTCAAGAAACTTTTCACTCACCCCTTCCCAAGAAGCCTTTCCTTTTCTAATCAACTCCAACGGATGTGATTTCTCTCACTGGGAAGCCCCAATGGCATTTTTACAAAATAAACTTTACTGAGGTATAATTTATGTACAATAAAATGCATTCACTGTATGTCTATATATCTATAAGATAAATCCATTTCAGTGAGTTCTGACAAAGTTACAACCGCCACCGCCGCTATCAGGATCTCCAGCACTTCCACTGCCCCTCGGAGTTTCCGAGTCCCTTTCCCAGGAACCCTCTCCCAGCTCCTGGCTCCAGGCCACTCATCTCCTCTGTTCGCCATCAATGAGGCCTGTCTTTTCTAAAGTTCCATATAAATGGAATCATTAGTGTGTGTTCTTTTTTGGGGGGAGGGGGCGGGGGGGGTAGTCCTAGCATCTCTCCCTTAGTGTAATATTAAAAAATTAATGAATAAACAAATTATATTCATATAATGGATTTAAGGAATGAGTTACTGATACATGCTAAGCCAGTTGTGAGAGGACTGCCCAAAATCCTCACCCACAGAGGGTCCCTAGGACGCTGGCAGAGAGCCAGGCAACTCCCCACCCTGAGGGAAGTTACGGCTCTTCGGACTCAGTTTTCCCTTCTGTATCAGCTCTCAGAACGGTGATGATGGGCCACCTCTCGCCTATGGATAGAATACTTTCAGGAGGTCTTACTAAATTCAAATGGCATTATAGTAACTAAAAGGTGGACGAAATTAGCTTGCATAAGAGTCTAGTTACTTAGGAAGCACAGAGTTAAGAAAGGGTGGGTGCTGGGACCGTCACACATTCACTCACTAAGTTTAGGCAACTACTAATCTCATATCCTTTTTCAGAAAGTAGAAACATAAACCACCTGGAAAACCAGAACTATTAAATTCCAAAGGTAAATATCTTATATTAAAATAAGGTTTTATTTAAGCACTTTTTTAGGAGGTAGAAAATGCATAACCTTATTAGACAAGGAGAATGAATATGCTACAGTTAGGATCATGTACCTTTGGAGATAGGTGGGTATAATATAACTCCTAAAAGGCATTTCTGTATAAGACAAGGATTATATGGTAAGGATCTTTCAGTCACAAAAGTATACAGTAGTCTAAATGTGCATTCATATTTTTCTTTTTAAATGCTGATAGCCTGGAATACTTGAATTTATATAATATTTTTCAATTTCAAAATTAGTACTACTGAAGTCTAAAACTTTACCCTAAAAATAGTTTTTAAAAGGCATAATTATCTGTGCTTTTCTGAGGAACAGAAAGTAATTTCAGGACCTTGTCTCTAAGTGATGATACAGTTCTTGAGAATATGTGTATCATAATTGTTGACAGAAATTTTTAAAAACTTTGTTTTTTAGAGGAGGAGAATGGAGTGAGAAATAGAGGGAGAGAAACATCAACGTGCAGTTGCCTCTCATGTGCCCCCTACCGAGGACCTGGCTCCCAACTCAGGCATGTGCCCTGACTGGGAATCGAACCAGCAACCTTTTGCTTGCAGGCCTGTGCTCAATCCACTGAGCCACACCAGCCAAAGCTTGACAGAAAATTTTAAATTTGCTTTCCAAGGTGAAAGTAAAATTCTTTATAAAAGCAATACATAAGTCACTTCCCTGTAGCAAAATCTCCAGTACTTACCAAAGCTATTTTAGTGGATGTATTTAGATTTTTCAGTTCATTTACCCTGTTCCTCCAGTGATTTATTAACTGTTGGATGGAGTTCAGCTGAAGAGAGAAGACAGAAAAATGATGAGTCAATACTGAGTATTTATGTTAATCACGTCTTTGCCAAAATTACAAAAAATTAATGAAACATTTTTATGGCCCATAACTTGTAAAATTTGCATTGACCTGTCCCTATTTGCCAAAAATATTCCAGCTGTAGTCCCCTCTCCCTGTTCTCCAACTCCTTGAATTACCTGGTTAAGAATCACATGTACCTGGCAGCACAGTTAGTTATATTTGGATGGGAGGCAAACATGTGTACTAGTTAAAACTCATGACCGTGACTGTACACAACAAAAAAATACAGTTTATGTCATTTCCTTTAGCACCAAACTTATTCAAGCTTAGCTTCTTAATTTTTGATATTGGATATGTAATAATGTTAACCTGTATAATAGACTGCTTTATTTAACTTTGCTTTTCTAACATTCATCAGTGTCTGCACCTAAGAGATATTCTATAATGCTTGCCAAGTGATGAAAGGGTTTGATTTCTGGGACTGATTACTGGATAATATGTAATAAAATAATGACATTCTTATGTACTATAGTCAAAATACATTATGATAGTTTTAGATAACCAATTTCAAATAATTAAAAAAAAAATAGCCCTGCCTTGAAAAAATTGTAGACCTCACCCACTTTGCCAACACAAGCAAGCCTCTACTATGGAGAAGACAGTAATTAACAGCTAATCTGTTACTGAGGTAGATAAATAGGAAACAAACTTACATAACTCTGTAAGTTATTGCTGGTTAAGAAGTTATGGTATTCAAGCCTCAACTCCTCTGGTGAAATGTCTGTAAAACCTGAAGTGAGGAATCAATTGCAATCTTTAAAATAAATGCCAATACTTTTGAATGTATAGTAAAGCTAGAGGTGCTAGACAGGAAAATGCGCTAATGTTGATCATTAGAAAATTTTCATCATCATAAGGAAAAAACTCAATAAGAAAAAAATTAGAATAAAATGTAGTTGGTTACTATCTTTGTATGGGGAAATTTTTTTCCACAAATGTACATGGAGAGCGAGACATAACAAAGAAAAAGAACATTGACTATGTATACATTCAAACTTCTGTCTAAAAAAATTCTGTATGTCACAAACTACGATAAGCAAAATTAAAAGGCAAGTGATAAGCTGGGAAAACCATAACTGCAACATGACAGAAGAACTAATGTTAATGTATCAATAGCTCTTATAAATCATTAAGAATAAGTTGATATGAGCAAATATAATAAACAGGCAATTCACAAAAAATTCAAATAGCCAGTAAATAAATGAAATTAAAAAGTTCAATTAAAAAATTACAACTTAAAATAGAGATAAAATGTTTTACTTATCAGACTGACAAAACATTAAAAATGAATGTTATTTACTGTTTTTAAGAATGTGGTGAAGTGGCTCTGACCAGTGTGGCTGCTCAGCTGGCTGGGCGTTGTCCCACGAAGTGAAAGGTTGCCAGTTACCTCCCAATCAGGGCGCGGGCCTGGGTTGCAGGCCCGGTCCCCATCTGGGGCATGTGCGAGAGGCAGGCAATCTATGTTTCTCTCCTCTATTTCTCCCTCCCCTCCTCTCTCTCTAAAAATATATACATAAAATCTTTTAATTAAAAAAAAAAAACCCCAAAAAACCCCCACAAGAGTGTAGTTAAGTGGATGTTCTCCTGAACTGCCATTAAGGGAATTAAAAATGTACTTTTAAAGGAGGAAAATTGTTAATAAGCCTCAATTGCCTTAGAAATGTTTATACCTTCTGATCTTAATAGAATTTCTAGGATTTAATCTCAGGAAATAATTACATGCATTGAATCTGTTGCAATATATTGCCTGGTTGCAGTATATGAAGAAAACCTGTTCTCACACATATATGTAGTTGAAAAAGGATGACTTTAATGGTCTTTTCAGATAATTGTGAATATTATTCTTTGATATTACACCAAAACTTGACAGGTGGTAGTTTATAAAATGTTAGGTATAGTGTGAACTCAAACTTTTTGGAGTATTATATTAAATCCACTGGATAATTTTGCACTTAGAATGGATTTTTCAGGTGTATATAATTTTGTAACATTATAAATTGAACATTTGGAAAATACTGGATTACTGAGTTATCTGAAACTTCCAAACATTGGCAAATGTTATTTTACAACATCAGAATATTCATATTTGTTAATGTCACTACCCTTCTCATCGGAAGAGACTTTATGTATCAGGAAGTCATCAAGCTCACATTAGAAGAACAGCTTTCCATAATCTAATTTTCACTTGAAAGCTTGAATCTATCATTGTTCATAAACATTAAGTTGTTCTCTATGAAGTGACAGGCTTGCTTCATTTATTTTTAAAGAAAATGTCACCAAATACTTAAGTATAAATAACCATAGTTCTGTCACCCTTTCATTAAAAATGGTCTGTGGGGGGAAAAAAGTGGCTAGTTCAGCCCCCAAGTCAAACGATCACACCAGAATTTTCCCTTAAGATAACCATCACACTTGAGTATGTGGCAGAAACAACTCTTTGAGTGCTTCCCATTTTGTCACATAGTACATTAAAAAGGTTTGCACTCAAAAGTCAAAATTTAGTAAAATTAATAACTTTTACCATTTCATCAAGGACATTCTTAAGTGAAAGTGACATTTAAAAAATTGATTACTATTATAGTCTGTTAATACAGTGCATTGTCTCTGCCTTGATTTATACTAAGATAAAAGGAGTTTAATGCATCAATGCTTTCGCTTCAACTGTGCAAATGCCAACACAGTGAAAATGGCAACTAATGCATTAGTATTATTATGAAAATATTTTTGAACTTGTACAGCCCCTACAAGGGTCTCAGGAATAGGGTTGCCAAATTTAGCAAATAACAATACAGGATGCCCAGTTAAATTTGAATTTCAGACAAACAACAAATACTTTTTTAGTGTATGTCACAAATGTTACATGGGTTATTCATATACTAAAATATTCTTTGTTTATCTAAAATTTAAATTTAACTGGGTACCTTGTACCCCATATTTTATCTGGCAACCCTACTCAGGGATCTCTAGTCCACATTTTGAGAACTCCTTTAGGGCATTCATTAGGCATTAGCTTCAATTCTGAACTAATTTAAAAAGGCTGAATACTTCTTTATTTTCTTTTCTGAAAAATCACCATCTGAATTCTGTTATTTATTTGTATTACTTATTGCCCTCCTCCCTCAAGAACATAAGCTTCATAAGGGAGGGATCTTGCCCATCTTGCTCATTACAATATCCCTAGCACTTAGAATAGGGCCGGGCACTAAAGAAATCAGAAAAGAATTTGTTGAATGAGTAAATAACTAAGGAGTGGTGCCATGCAAATACTGACAGAGAATGAGCAGGTGGAGCTGAGACAGAGATCCCAGAGTTCCGACAGACTGCAAGGACTCTCATCTGCTAGGCACCTAGTTTACTCCATAGGGCAGAAGTCCAGGACAACCCAGGGTGGGCCTAGAAAAGTGTGGCAGTCTAGGTTTCATCCCAGAAAGGGGTTAGAGACTATGGACAAAAGAAAATGGGAAGAAAAAGCATATTCTATAGAAATGCTATTCCTGTGGCCCAGGTAAAGCTCCTTAACTTCAATCTCCAGGATAGTCCTTCACATGCTTTATGAAAAACAACTACCCTTAAAAGGAAAGATAGGGAAGAGAAAACAGAATCAGACAGCTAAGGCCTTAATGAAGGCAGGATATGGCTCTTTTGTTCACTGCAGGCAGTCAAGAGGTTCAGAAGCAGCACCCAGAGAGAGCCAAGAAAGCAGAGCCTCTGCTTGGGCTCACAGAATTAGAACTATGGTGGGTCCTGGTTTTACTATTTTCTCACGAGAACTACGTATCTTAAAAGAACTATACTTTCCAAACTCAATCTCTGAATCATGAAGTTCTGCTAGAATACTCAGGTACTTAGTTATAGTAATTATAGCTAAGTCTGTGGTTAATTTCTTTATTTGGCATTATCTTGGTTTTAGATAATAAGAGTTGTAAAACATTTTAAAAACATACAATTTCTCAGTTACCTGAAATACTAGATTTTTTTTTCATTGGTGAATAAGCAGAGAACATCCACTGCCCTGATGATTCCCAAACCTCCATATCTTTTACAATTCCTTCCCTGACAAAAACAAAAACAAAAACCTTTATAATTTTCAAGGATTGACTGAAATTTTAAATTGTAGTAAATATATAATTTTACATTTTTCCATTATATTTTTCAAGTGTTCTTTAAAGCAGAAGCTTATAGAAATATAAACTACATTTCATGTTATAGATATATTACAATATTAAAGAAGCTCATAATTTTGGTTTTCCAGTACACTGAACCATTAACCAACACATTTAATTGAGAACTATTGTACCATACATATATTAAATAACTAAAATACAATAAAATGTAAAACCTTAACCTTTTTTTGTTCACTATCACAAACATCAATGATTATTTAACTGGGAAAGACAGAAAGTACCACGTAATATAGAAGCATAACATTTTTAAAAGGCTGGGACTTCAGGAACATTTTGTCTAATTCTCACATTTTGCAAAAGGGTAAACAGACCCATACCCATACAGTTATTTTGTTGACAAGCTGTGGATAGAATCTGCTCTAAATTAAATCCTCTGTCCAGAATGCTACAATTAATAAAATGATAGATACTACAGAGAATCTATATTGAATTTAGGGTTTTTACAACATCGAATATAGGAAGATGGGGTTCCTTTGTTTTTTCCTTTAATTTTTAAAAAAGATTTTTATTTATTTATTTTTTAGAGTTAGGGGAAAGGAGGAAGAAAGAGAGGGAGAGAAACATCAATGTGTGGTTTCCTCTCACATGACCCCTACTTGGGGCCTGGCCTGCAACCCAGGCACGTGCTCTGACTGGGAATTGAACCAGCGACCCTTTGGTTCATAGGCCGGCACTCAATTCACTGAGCCACACCAGCCAGGGCTGTTTTTTCTTTTTTAAAACATCAGTAGCATACGGTACATGGCTCAAAATGTTTACTACTGGTTCTAATTTATGCAAAGTAAAAGATCAACTAGTATATCAATATTTTGTCCTAGGAGCCAGAAGCTGAGGGAAGTTAGAGAGAGCCAGGCACTATTTTGGTATCAGCCATAAATTCTACTACAAATGTTCTCAAGAAATGATAAGGAATTTTACTCTACAATAATGAAGGAAACCAAATGAAACCAATTTGAATGAGGTAAATGAAGTAAGTTTTAGAAAGAAAAATATGAGATGATATGTGACCTCTAAGATCACCAGTTGCTTTAAATTAACTCATGCTTTTTAAAGGTCTCATAACTTATAACCAACTTAAGCAGGTCTACCTTAGAAAGATATTCACAATACAGTGCTATCAATAGAAAAATGGAAAGAGCATAATTAGCTCTAAAAAGGCACTGTACTGATATGGAAAGATGGCACATTTTTAAGTGAAATAAAGTTTAGTATAATACATTTTTTATATATACAAATACATGTATTATATATACACAAAATAGTGGATTATCTTGGAGTGATTGGATCATGGGTGCTTTTTCTTCTTTTTGCTTATTCTGATTTTTTAAATAATGTACTACTTCTTTTAAAAAATATATATTGTAGGTACTTTTTAAAAAAATAAGCAAATGGGTAATTTTTCTGAAAGCATTCACTTACAGAAGTTTCTTTTCATCTTTCTGTGCATCAGAGCTAGGTGAAGAACCAAATGGGTTCTGAGATAATCCAAACCCCCTGTTCCTGTTCGTTGAAGCTCCAGAATCAAGAGAACCAAAAGATGACTTTTCTTGCTCTCTGCTGCCCCCCCATGGTGTGGATTTGGAGAAGCTGGATGGCTGGATAACACTGGAGGATCTCTGGCTGGTGGCATTCCACCCACGTCTGTTGCTACCTGAAATAAACAATAAAATAAAACAACTGTATTAGCAACTTGTCTTTTAAACCTCTAAAAATTTCATTACATTTTGTCTTATTACATATAGACATTATGCAAAGATTCAACACTTCCACTCATCTTAAATCACAAAACTCTTCATCTCTGACTTACATGGTTCAGTATAATATCAACAAATCATGTAATGGTCTAACTGCATTTCTGTTTAACAAGAAAGGACTGTAAATCCTTAGAAAAATAATGATACATTACTAAGTTCAGCTGACATAAGCTTATTAAGTAAATAATTCCTTTGTAGTAGAGTAGATAGAAGGCATATATCCTAAGTCATAAGTTCCTTCAGGACAAAAAGCTGTCTTTATCATTCTTTGCTCTCCCACTAGCCTGATATAGTAATAATGCCTGAAAAATGGGGAATGTATTAAAAAGCTTGTTGAAAATAAAAAATTAGATTCTACCCATTGTCCTTGAATAGATGCTTCAATCTATCTGAGTCAGTCTTCCCTTTGGGAAAGCACATACCCACCAATCTTTTACAGGGAGATTATAAAGGTAATTTACATGTGAATAACGTATTGAGTTCCTCTACTATGAGCATATTACTAATATTTCATAATTATCAAAATGAGCCAACAGGACAATCCTCTCTGTCTCTATTTTTTCTTTAAAGTCATCACTTTAACTATCTCAATTACCACTTTTCTAGTTGGGTCTAAGATAACTCACCTTGTTTCTCACTGGATCAGATATTCTGTTAAATATATTAAAAAGTGGAGTGATGGGAGATACACCCCTTTATGAAAATTCATCTCCCAAATCTAAAACTACATAGTAAAACCAAAGAGAAAAGGCAGCAGATTGCTGGAGTAGATCCCTCACACAGGGATTAACGGTTTTTAATTTTTCTAAAGCTCCGAATCCTTTGGGGAATGACACAACTAGAGAAATTCAATTATCTTTTGAATACAGCTTTTGGCTTTCCTACTTCTTAATTCCAGAAGCATTCACTCCCTTCAGGTAGCTAAACACATTGTTTATTTGACGAGTTTTATTACACTTTTGTCCTCAATTCGTCTACCTATTCAACGTTTACTTTCTAATTACTCCCTTCAGAGTGCGTCCCCACGGAATGTCACATAATACCCTCCGCTGTTAATGGAAGTACACTCATATTTATCAGACCGCGCCTCCTAAGTTTTGGTTTGGAATATGTCGTTAGACCTACTGTAGCTGACGCAAAAAGGCTGCCTTCCAGAAGAGGGGCCGGGTGTGAAGCCACAGTGCAACTCGAGGTTCAAAGGCCAGATACAGAATATCCCTAAAGAAGGGAAGGGAGGCGAGAAGGTCGGGGAGCATCTTGTGATACCTTTAAGGATGAGGTTCCAATTCCGAGAAAATAAAACTTCTCCATCTGGCCTTTAAAACCTTGCGTTGTCCTACGGTTTCACGTCTTACCTCTCTTCTCCTCGGAGACAGTGCTTTTCTTACCATCCATAATTGATTTAATGAAATATTCCAACGTCTTTGGCAATGACTTGGGCCCGAGGAGCAAGTCAACGCGGTCCTCCACACCCCGTTTCCTCACGGCCCAGAGCTCTTAATCGGGCATCCCATCCTCCCAATTTTACCCTAAATTTTAAGGGCGTGAACATCTGTCTGAGGAATGGTTCTGTAAGCTTTCATTCTATTTCCAAAGAAGTTCGCGACTTCCCCCAAGTTACCAGCCCTGACGCTGACCCCAGTTGCTAGCCTCTCCCGCGGAAGAAAAAGTTTAGTAAATATTGTATTCAAGTCAAAAGGGAAAAAAACAAACAAACAAACAAGTACCCATAAGGGTATAAATAAAGCAAGGAGGCGTCTGAGCTGACCTTTGCCAATTCCCCGAACCACGACTACTCACCAACAGGGTAGTTTTGACACGAACATCCCACTTAGAACTCATTGTTTGGCATTAGTACCCAGAGCCAAGCCCCTGTCTTTGTCCGCTTAACAAAAACCGACCAAGTGCCTAGTGCGCGGGTAAAACCGTCGGAAGGAGACTCTGTGCCGGGCGCGGCGGACAGACTTCACCTCACCGGTGCGCCGCGGCGCGAGCCGAGCCCCACGCAGGGCGCCCGCTCTCTACCGGCTGGACCTTCCGTCAGGCCCATCCCAGCTCGGCTAGAGGTGGCGCAGGACGGAGGGCAACATCACCTGAGAGCTGTTGCTGCCGTCCCCCGCCCGCACTCCAGGCGCCGGGATGTTCGTTCCAGCACCGCTCTCCAAAGCGACACCGGCCTTGAAGGAAGAACTGACAGATGGTCATTGCGGCGGCGTCGCCGACAGAACGGCCTTAGTGAGCGCCCCCAACGAACGGAGAGCCTGGAAACCCTAAAGCAACCGAAAGTTCCCGTCCCACTTCTGTGACGTCATCTTCTAGTGCCCACGAAGGGCCCCTTCTCTTTCGTTCCTCCCCCACGCTATGATAGGCGCGGGTTTTACCCAATAGGAATTGAGAAGAGGGGGCGGGCCCCCGTGACCGAGGGAGGCCTGGGAAAGAGGGAAACTTAAACTGGTACATTGAGAAAGAAGCACGTCTGACCCGGTCCGGTGCCTGGGGCTGCAAGGGAGACTCGAGGTCGAAAAGAAAAGAGAGCTAGTTAAGCAAACCTAGAACTTAAGCAAGGCGAGGAGAGGAGGATTAGTTCGGTGGTTTGAGAAACCGAGTGTATGTTCATTTGTAACAGCTGGGAAAGTGAAAGTGTGCCCAGCCTTTCATCAGGATGGGTAAGTGTCAGATAAAGGCAAATGGTAACGTTAACATGAAACAGTGTTTCTTTTATGAACCGACTACAACCGAGAAGTATTGTAACAGCCCCCATTTTTGGATGAGCTCTATGTTCTTACACAACGAGAAACCTTGTTCTTTAAAATCCACATAAACGTTGCTATTTGAAATTATATCAGCAAGAATGAAACATCTTACTCTTGCCTGGAGGATCCAAGACACAAACAGGGAAGCGGTCTTGATTTCTAGCCAGGGGCAGAACTCAGATAAAGGATTCCTGAAGAGAACGTCCCATATTTTCTTTGTAGTTTCCAAGGAGACATGACCTTACACCCATTTTTCAGTGCAGATCTGATGTTGATGCCTTTACACACAGCCACTTTGCTTTGAGCCTGTCAATACTGTTTAATTTAAATTTTACTTAAAGTCCACCTTCCCCCCAAATCCTACAACTCTTGTATGGTGAGACACCCTACAATTCTGGTGTTCAGTCCCCTTGGTTACAACAAATCAATAAACCTGACTTAGTTGGACTGAAGGTTTGATCCTGGTGATTTAGGACAGCAATCTTTAATTGGTGTGCTGCAAGAATTTTTAAAACATGCAATACCTGACTATTTAGTCAAGGCCACTGACCTCTCTTCCCTTAAATTGTTGGATTAAAAAAACAACAACAGCCAACACAACAATAGCTGTTCGGTGTGAATGAAATCAAGATTATACCTAAATTATCTTTTTGGTCAGATCAACAACAAAAAAAAATGTTTTTGTTTTTGTTTTTTTTTTTTTTGTGGTGTGCTGCTCTATTTTAGTAATTTATGTGTGCCATGAGAGGAAAATGGTTGAAAGTTGTTGGTTTAGGATGATTGGCTATTGTACTTGCTCACACACTTTGGATTTTTGAGGCCAGTGGAATCTACAGGAGCACTGGGAATAACTGGTGCAACCTAGTTTATTTTTTAAAGCCAGTTTAATTCATTTATTTTACAACAAACTTAAGAGTTACAAATATAGTACAAAGAACGTGGTTTTTTTCCTGAGCCATTTGAGAATATATTGCAAACCTAATGCCTCATCACCCAAATACTAATTTCCTACAAATAAGGAAATTCTCCTACTCAAGCACAATACAATGACCAAAATCAGGATATTAATATTGATGCATTAGTACCATCTAATCCTCAGGTTCCATTTATGTTTTACCAAATGTCCCAACAATGCCCTTTAGAGGAAAAGAATCCAGTTCAGAATCATTGTTGCCTTACTCATATTTCTTTAAGTTTTATTTTTCAATTACAGTTTACATTCAATATTATTTTGTATTAGTTTCAGGAATACAGCATAGTGGTTAGACAATCATATACTTTACAAAGTGTTCCCCCCAATAGTTCCAGTGCCCATCCGGTACCATACATAGTTATTACAATATTATTGACTAAATTCCTTATGCAGTACTTTATATCCACACCATTTTGTAGCTACCAATTTGTACTTCTTAATCTCTTCACCTTTTCCACCCAATTCCTCAGACTACCCCTTCTGCCTGGCAACCATCAATCAGTCTGGTCTCTGTATCTCCGAGTCTGTTTTTATTTTGATTTTTTTGTTGTTGAGTTTGAGTTCTTTTATAAGTTTTGGATATTCACCTAACATTGGTGAACATTTTCAATTCAGGTTTTCTTTTCTTTTTGTTGGTTTCCTTTGCTGTGCAAAAACTTTTTAGTCCCCATTTTTTCCCTTTGCCAGAGGAGATATAACAGAAACAATGTTGCTAAGGGAGGTGTCAGAGATTTTAGTTTTCTTTTAGGAATTTTATGGTTTTGAGCCTTTAATCCATTCTGAGTTATTTTTGTATATGGTATAAGATGGTGTATTTTTCATGTTTTTACATGTATTTGTCTGATGTCCCCTTGAGTATTTATTGAATAGACTGTCTTTACCCCATTGTATGTTCTTGCTTCCCCATCATATGTTAATATATATATTGCCTTACTCATATCTTTAAGAATTTTGATTTTAGAGAGAGGGAGAAAGAAACATTGATTTGTTTTTCCACTTCTTTGTGCATTCACTAGTTGATTCTTGCATGTGCCCCGATGAGGGATGGAACCTGAAACCTGGGCATATGGGATAGAGGCTCTGATTTTACTGACATTTGAGAGAGACAGAGAGACAGAGACATTGATTGGTCACCTCCTGTATGTGCCCAGGTCAGGGATGAAACCCACAACCTAGGCATGTGCCCCGACTGGGGGATTGAACCCACCACCTTTTGGTGTATGGGACGACGCTCCAACCAGCTGAACCTCCTGGCCAAGGTGAGCCTTATGTTTCTTTGGTCTCCTACATCCCGGAACATTTCCTCAGTCTTTCCTTGACTTTCATGACCTTGACACTATTAAAGATTCTAGCTTGTTATTTTGTAGAAGTTCCTGAATGAAGATTTATGTTTTCCCACATTTTTTTCAGTGGAGTGAAAAATTCAAAACCCATCATAAAAATGTTCAGAATAGGCAAATCTAGAGAAAGAAAGATTAATGGTTGTCTAGGGCTGAGTGTTTGAGGGTTATAACTGGGTTGAACAATGTCCCCCCAAAACTTATGACCACCTAGTACTTCAGGATGTGACTTTATTTGGAAACAGGGTCTTTGCAAATGTCATCAGTTAAGATTAGGTCACACTGGATGGGGGTTGGGGGGGAGGTGGGCTAAACCCAATGACTCAGCTGTCTTTATGCCACCACATAAAGCCACAGGCACAGTGGCAAGAAAGCCATGTAAAAACAAAGGCAGTGAATGAAGTGAGGGAGTTTACAAGCCAAGGAACCGCAAGGATGCCAGCAACCACCGGAAGCCAGGGGAGAGGCTCAGGCAGTTTCTGCCTCAGAGCCTCCAGGAGGAAGCAACCCTGACAAGACCTCCGTGTAGGGCTTCTGGTGTCCTGAACTGAGGAAGAATACATCTGCTGTTTTAAGCCACCACGCTTGTGGTAATTTGTTGCAGGAGCCACAGGGAACTAATACATGGAGAAACTGGGGGAGTGGCTGCTCGTGAGTGTGGGGTTTCTTTCTGTGGTGATGAAAATGTTCCAAAATTGTGGTGATAGTTGCACAACTCTGTGAATATATTAAAGACCAATGAACAGTACACTTTAAATGGTGAGTTGTTTGGTATGTGAATTATATCTCAGTAAAGCTGTTATGTACATACAAAACCCACATAAATACAAATATATCATTATGTTTTTTACAATTTCATTCTCATTTAAACATTTTTAGTGCTTAAGATTATATAACTCCCATATAAAGAAAACAATGAAAATTAAAATAGAAACGCTGCTTTGCAAATTTTAAAAACAATCATTATCTAACACATCTAAAGTAAAGAACAAATAAATTTAGCAGTCTATTTTAAGTTAAAAATATTTAATATTTCCAGGTAGAAACATTGATGGTGACAGCTTTATATGGCTCATTCTATATATATACTTCATAATGTAAAAGGGCAAAGCATTACTAGGAAAGAAACGGCAGATGGGTTTGGAGGAGATTTATTTACCATATAAAAGCAATTAATGAGATGACAAATACTTAATTCAAATTATTATAAAACTTTAGAGACAATGGGGTCAAGTACCTCTGATATGTCTTGCTAAGGAAATCATGTACCTTTGTAGTCCATAAGAAGTTCAAAGTCAACATTGATATTGTATAACTATCAGTGCTATTCTAGTGACCTATGAATTTTCTCTAAATAGCTGTATTTTTTGGCTAATCATTCTTATTATAATTGGATTTTATTTAAAGTGAGGACTGAAGAGACAATCATTTCATTTGTTGATTTTAGAGAGAGAGAGAGGAAGGGGCAGGGTGGGAAGGAGAAAGAGAGAAACATCAATTCATTGTTGCACTATTTATGCATTCATTGGTTGATTCTTATATGTACCCTGATGGTACTGAACCAACAACCTAGGTGTACCAGGGCGACACTCTAACCAACTGAGCTACCTGTCCAGGGCCAAGGCGTAATAATTTTTTTAAGCATTGGGTAAAACAGTGATATAAATTAATTATGGGTGCTAAACGATATTTGTTTAAAAGATGGAATATATTTAATTGGGTTGAATATATTTCATCAGGAGTATAGTATATTTTTTAAAGTCCTAAAATGAGATTATGAAGTTTGTAAGAGAGTATGTGTATGCCTTGACTCACTCTGCCCTGCTCTTAAAAATGGAACACATTTGGCACTAAATGGAAGAAACAAAGAAGACAAGCTAAATTATGTGGGACTAAACTGCTCCATACTATTTCTTAGTCCTTGAGTGAATCAAAACAAACAGACCTAATTACACAGCGCTTCTGTGATGTATGAAAATAGAATCTAGAGCTAAGATGAGACTGTTTCACTGATGATCCAATCCCCCTCTCTGTCAAAATCATAGTTACAAATGTGAAATTCATTTAAGAATTTGTATTTTCACTGATGCTTATTATTTTTCAAGTTTTCTTGCTAGATATGTTCATGATTATGTGGCCATCTAAAATAAGGTCTTTTAGTCAAGTAAGGAAATCCATATAAAAAACATCTATTTTATAGGGATCTTTCTTTACTTGAAACTTCCTTCTAAAAAAAAAAAAACCCCACCAAATTAAATCTTTGTAACCACACTCTTGGAACGAAGCACTGGTGGCCATATTTTTGAGTCTCCAATGAGTCTTGAAGTCAACTCATTTTTCATGTTTCAAGTGTTTCTTCATTTGCTCCACAAGTATCAACAACACAAATTAAACAACTTGTAACTGGAAATGCTCGAACTTTGGAGTTGGCGAACCATTTGTCTGTTTCAGTATTATATTCGAGGATGTGTCCTAATCGACCCACACCTTGAAAACCAGCCAAAACATAGACTATAGAGCCAACGGCTGCACACTTCACCGTTACACCCTTCCACGGCATTGGTGAGACCATCTTCCATTCATTTAACTTAATATCGTAATACTCCACGTTGTCCAGACCACCTTCAAAAGAACAAACCATGAACACTATGAACAACTGTAAGAAAATCTTATAAAAGTAACAACTCTTTGCATTTTTCCAACATTATTTTATGAAAATTTTCAAGCATGGAGAAAAGGTGTAAGAATTTTACAGTGTCCACATACCTACCACTTAAATTTCTCTTACCTTAACACAACAGAAATTTAATTTTTAGTTGTCATTTTAGAATCATAAATATTTAATTCTACAAAATTAAAAATTTTCTGTTTGTTCTAGAAAAATTAAAAAAGTACACCAATCTGTGAATTTTCCTTCTGATTAATTATAATTACTCAAATGTTCCACTTAGTCCTTCTACTATTTACTGTCAGCAGTTTATGGAAAACAGCAATGAGTAGAGACAGAAGAAGGAAAAGAATTTATTTTATTGTTACACTTAAGTGATTCTTAAAGGTACTGAGTAAAATGAGGTCATGGAGTATATATAGATTCAGTCCAGATTTCTCTTACTTAAAGCAATTATTAAAGATTTTAGTACATTATTTAAGAAAATAAAAAGGTCAAATTTACTCATTTAAAAGATAGTAATATTGATATTTTCATTCAGCATTTAAAAATATTTAGGAAACTTTGCCATTCAGAGTCTGGATACCTAAAACCTATGTTTTAAAAGTTTTTTTTTAAACTTCGAATATTTCTGTCACTCAACAGTTCTTAAACTAGTGTGACAGCATACCCCGGGGGTATTTAGAGGCGTGTGGAAGCCATCTGAGACCGTCACAATAACTGACTGCCATTGCCCATATTTCATGGAAAAGAAGGTTAAATGTACTCCAATGTTTCATATGTTTCATAAAGTGTTTGTTCTCCAAAACTATGAGAATGTAGTTTTAAAGTATAATGATGTATATGATAAATGCTTGTATCTGGATTTTAAGAAATGTTTCCATAATTTAAGATAAGAAAATAATCAGCAAACTCATTGGGAAAGTTGAACAGTGAATTAATATCACACACCTAAGCCATTCTGACCACCCACAGCAAATATCTTATCTTTTACAAACACCAATCCATGATTCTTCCTGGCCTCAATCATTGGACAAAGCTCAGTCCACCTGAAAAAAGAAAAGGTTTTAGTGTAGTTGTTCACAGGTAGTGAAAGGACTTACTAATTTATAAGAGAGACCAGTTGCATATGGGCGGGTGTGTGCACACACATCTGGAAGGCAAGAAACCAAAAGTTTCACAGTGGTTTTGAGTAATTATCTATAGATGGGTTAATACAGATTTTATTTCTGTCAACTCTGATAGGATATGTGATACAGAGGATATCTGGAGACTATTAACAAATCTTTGGGAAAAATCCATTTCCTGTAGTTCAGAATAACTTGTGACATGGTAACAAAAATGATGGGAAAGATACATAAGAGACTATGAAGCACAAATACTGCCACATGTGGTTTTAATTAGTACTTATGTATGAATGAGTAAAACAAATTTATCATGGGCTTCTACCAATCAGCAAATTAGGGAATGTGCTAATTATTGAATAGTAGGGGTGGTGGTAAGTACAGTGACATGAAACTAATGAGGAATTGAACACAGATGAAATCCCAGTCAGCTCTTTTGTTGATACTCAAAGACATACAAAGAACTTCAATAAGAAAATTCACTTGCTTTTTCAAAGGATTGTTCTTCCCTTACCAGAACAAGTTATTGGGTAAATATGTTCAACTTAAATATTATGCCAAAGAGCTGCACCAAAACCCTTGTGCTCAAATTTTATGTTTAGGAAATATTGCCAGACTACATACAAAACACAGAAGTCTTCCCCTCCAGCTACTGCTTTTTTAAAATTAAGAGTAACAATTTAATTATAAAATATGATCCAGTCATGTGCATTTATTGACTCATGCTTCCTACCTGCTTTTAAAGGATTTAAGGAAACATAATGGATAACTCCTTTCCCAAACAAAAATGCAGTTACAATGGTTTTTAATTCGTATTTTGCTCAACTGGTTGCCAATGTTAGAAAAAGAATTGAGAGCAATGTGTCTTGAAACTTGTCTTTTGCTAGTGTTGAGCCTAGAAATCTCGAGATCATCAAATTTATAACTCCTTTCAAAATGTACCTTTGTACTTGCCAGAGCTCTAGTAACAAAAGTGCCATCATTCTGTCAACCTTAGTAACTTATTAGCATATTGCTGTGTTCGCAGTCACTACTACAAATACTGAGACTGAGAACATAAATGTGGAAACAATATTGAAAGACACTAATTCATAGGTAACAGCACCATATCCATATATGTTACAGACAATGTGGTTAGCTATTTTTTTTTGTGAGAGGTAATCCCTTCTTTTGCATATATTCTCATACGCACAACTCAGAATTGTGTTTGTGAAGATGGTACTGGCACACAGGCTGTGTTCTTAACAGCTAATAACCAAAATACTCCAAACAACAACAATAGAAAAATGTGGCATAAGCATTAACTCTCCAATATAGTTATTTCTATCTCTTTTTAAAAACAATGTAATAAATGTAACTTTTCAAAACATAATGAACTCATAACAACTATGAAATAGCAGCAACTCATTCGTTGCCTTATATTTATATATTTATCATTAAAAAGTGGTTTGGCAGCTACCACTCTATTTTAGAGCGCCCTCAAAGGCAAGGTGAGCAACACTGCTCCTGTTTTTCAGGACAAACAAACATGCTGGCCCAGGTGAAGGGACCAGCATGCGGCCTGGCAGTGGGAGAGCCAGCCTCGGCCTCACTGCCTTCCCATGCAGTAAGATTTATATGGTGAGCTGTTCAAGTGCATCGATCATAGTATTGGTCTTGGAAAAATAAAATATACATAGCCCCCTCTTCTTCAAGTATGTACATGTGTAAAGAGCATGTTTTTGTGTGTATATATAAGTCTCCTGAAGGTTCAGAATTAAGGAAGTTTCACAAAATGCTTTTCTTAAAACTTGGACTGCATGGGTCTCAATTCATAGCTCCCAATGAAACACATCCTAGTTACAAAACGCTTAAGAAAACTGTCAAAACTGGAAAGAAACATTCTTATAAAACATAACTTGGAAGGACAGATCATATATTTAAGGAAATCTTAACTTATTTTTCATTTTGAGATTTGGACAATTATATTCTCCCTACTTTTCAAAGATTTTATTTTATTTTTTTAGAGAGGTGGGGAGGGAGGGAGAAAGAAAGGGAGAGAAACACAGATGTGAGAAACATCCATCGGTTGCCTCTTGCATGTGCTCCAACTGGGGACTGAACCTGCAACCCAGGTATGTATCCTGACCAGGAATCTAACCAGCGACCTTTCGCCTTGAGGAATGATGCCCAACCAATTGAGCTACACTGGTCAGGGCTTTATTCACACTATTTTTTTCACTTAAGAATAAAGTGTAAGGGCACTGAAGAGAATACAAAAAATTCAAATTTAACATGCAAGGTCACTGTATGCAAAAGAAAAAGAATGCTAAGTTATTTAAGTTTAAAAATATTCCTCAAACTAAATATTATCACCTAGTTAAAATAAAAATACCAAAGTTGTAGAATTCCTTTAATAGTTTTTCTCTACTACTATGAACAAGTATATGTTGATTTACACTGATACTGCCTGAACTAAGTCCTCAAAATTTAGAAGCCTGGAGTTTATAGGAATAGGTTCTACTTTAAGAGATTTTTTAGAAATGAAAAAAGAAAAAAAAGAATTAGGCAGCAGAATGAATGAGATTGCAGTTTTTCAATTAGTACGCTGTAACACTTTTGAGCATAAGGTTTATGGGAGGTAAAGCAGAGGCTGTTCTAGGCAGGAGGACACGTGGTCTACACCCCCTCCTGTGGTGTGGGATCAGATGGGGTGGATAGCTGAACTGATGGGTGTTAAGATGAGGACAAGGGGGTACCCCAGTGTGATCCAGCAATACAAAGGTACATTTTGAAAGGAGTAATCTGATGATCTCAAGAAATTTCCGAGTCTCAACACTAGCAAAAGACAAGTTTCAAGATATATCACTTTCAATTCTATTCCTAAAATTGGTAATCAATTGAACAAAATATGAGTAAAAAACCATCATAACTGCATTTTTGTTTGGGAAAGGAGTTATCCATTATGTTTGCTTAAATCTTTTAAGAGTAGATGAGAAGCATAAATAAAAAAATGCACATCACCATATTTTATAATTAAAATGTTGCTCTTCATTTAAAAAAAGCAGTAGCTGGAGTGGAAGACTTCTATGTTTTGTAGTCCGGCAATATTTCCTAAACATAAAATTTGAGCACAAGACTTTTGGTGCAGCTCTTTGGCATAATATTTAAGTTGAACATATTTACCCAATAACTTGTTCTGGTAAGGGAAGAACAATCATTTTTAAAAAGCAAGTGATTTTTCTTCTTGAAGTTCTTTGGACGTATTTTTTTTTAAGGTTTTATTTATTTACTTTAGAGAGAGGAGAACAGAGGGAGAGAGGGAGAGAAACATCTATGTGAGAGAGAAACATCAAGTAGTTGCCTCTTGTACAAGCCCTGACCAGGGACCAAACCTGTAACCCAGACATGTACCCTGACTGGGAACTGAACTCAGTGACCTTTTGGTTTGTGGGATGGCACTCAACCCGCTGAGCCACACCAGCCAGGGCTGGATGTCTTTCAGCTGTGTTCAGTTCCTCATTAGTTTCATGTCACTGTATTTACTACCACCCTACTATTCAATAATTAGCACATTTCCTTGGGGTACATTGAATGGGTTTCATCGTTAATTGTAAGGTCAGAAAAATTGGTTAATCATTTATTTCTTTAGCATTTTGCTTTTTAAAAAGCAGTTACTTCCCAAGATTTAATAATTTTGTTTAATAAACATGAATCCCAAGGTACTTTAGTATGCACCAACTCACAAAAGACGTTATACCTAGGGTTATGATTTATTAATGTCATGAACCGACATATAATACTTCTAGTTAAAGGCAAGTTTACTGTTGATCATAATTTCTCCCCTCCACCCGTACATTTCTTGACCTCTAAAACAAAGCTATTTCATGAGTTTGATCAGTCAGAATTGTCTCACTAACAGATATTGACTGTCTGCAAGAAGGAAGAGAAGGGGAGGGGCTCCCACAGGGTATAAGGTGAGGCCATTTCTTAAGGTGTAGGAAGGGGCTAGGCTGTAAACATGCTGCTGACCTTGACACATTTAAAAGTGACTGTACTTTCTTAATACAAGAGCTAAATTCTTCAGTTGAGTTCCTTCTGCATTTTGACATGTTCTTCCAGTGAGCTTAAAGAATACGATACTGTGAAATAAAGAGTTTTAAATTGATACATACGTTTCTGTGGCAGGATCATAAACTTCACAGGAATTCAACACGCGGCCAGAAACATTGTTCCCCAAACTCCCACCACAAACGTAGATGAGGCCGTTGGCCTCCACCATGCCATGGCTGCAGCGCTGGGTCAGCATGCTGGGCTTGGTGTGCCAGCTCTCAGTCCGCGTGTCGTAGCACTCGAATAAATACAGAGCTGAGTTCCCTGTAAGAGAAGAGAGCCCTTTCATGCCTGATGTCATGTGTGCGTAGGCTTGGAGTGAGCTGACTGGGGGGCCGAGTCAGCTGCTGGAAGTAAGAATTCCGGATTATAGAGTCTTTTCTACCCTTAATTGACAATAAAAGCAAAATGTAGGAATTAGTTGGTAGATACCCTGGAAAATATTCACAGAAGGATAGGTGGGGAAACTTTTTATTTATTGGTAATTAAATTTTAGAAGAAGAAACTGGTTTGACTTCAAAAGAAAATTAAAGAAGAAACTTTATGTATGTCCTCAAGCCTAATTGTGCCTGATAGGAATTATCCAACCTTGAAATGTTTATACAGAAGGGAAAAGCATAACTAGCTACAGATGGTAAATCCGTACCTTAAAATATGAAAACTACTATCCGATAATATCCTGAGGCTTATCATTTAATATTCCATAACAGCCACTACACCATCAGCAGAACTGCTCCTCCTGACTGCTCTCAGTGGTGGTGTGGGTGGGCCCTGAAGTCAGGTGGTCTGTTCTGAGTATATGCTCAAGGTACCACTGTATGTTTCTGGTGTACTTTGATTATATCTTTTAATGGCAACACATATATTTGTTCTGTTTTGCAACTTCTAAAGTGCTTTTGTTTTTCCTTCCCCAAGAAAAGAGAAGTTAGAACTTGACCAAATTATGTCTCATCTCCCCCTCTTCTGAACTTTGCTAATGCTTTAAAGACAACAACAACATTGCTACCCTTATAATTCTCAATCAAAACCAAGTCTACAAAAAGCAAAGATCAGAAAGTAACAAATGGGAAAAGCAATGGTCATGACTAATAATAACTTCCTTTTCTAAAAACTTTTAAACATTTCCAATTTGGTAGATTTCATTGGTTGACATTAGGAGCAAATATACAGTATATAGCAGAAATAAAAATCTAAGTAAAAAACTGACTTAAAAGCAAATGAAGTTATCTATGATACTTTCTACAAAAAGCATATTTATAGAAGTTACTTTTTATTATTTTTAGCATTTATTATATTTGAAATATAATATACATTCTGTAAAAATGCTTTTAAACAAGGGAAAAATCACGTCTTAATCACATTTAGGTAATCATATTTTTTCTTGTATTTATCTGGTAGGGGTGAAAACTTAACAGATAAAAGTGCAGACCAAAAGTAAAACATTCTTTGGGCTAATATAAAAATCATCAAAGAAAAGAAAAGACAACACTTAAATTCCATATTTTGGGTCTACTCAGTCTTCTTAGTTTTCTTTATCAGCCCATTATTTGGCTAAAGAAATTAGTTGAAAAGATGAAAGCATATAAAAGCTATTGTGTGTCTAGTCTTCACCTAGAGTATTGACTTAGACAAATTATTCGTCACTAGACTTATTGAGGTGGGAATCATTTTCTAAGTTATATAAATGTCTAACCATCATGCTGTATATCTGAAACTAATATAACAGTGAATGTCAATTGTAATTAAAAAAATAAAATAACACAAAGAAAAAAAATTATTCATTTAGAAAAAGACCACTACTGGACACTTAACATCCATCAACGAGAAACGTTTTTAACCCCATAACTATTCCATTCTAATCAATAAGCATAAAATACCACTATCAATTAATGCATTAAGAAGGTAAAGAATAAGGCAAAAAAAAAGTTCATTCTTCATTTTTTTTTATGATGCAAAGAAAGGAAAGATAATACAAATTTTAAAAGCTTGAATGTAGTAAAGAGGGCTTAAATGGTCTATAAATAAGCCAAACTCTGAAATCTTTAAAGCAAATAATACTAGGTATCAAAAACAACCAATCTAGAACTAAAATCTGATTTTGTCAATGAAAGTTTCGTCATGACAAAAATGGAACAATTAAAATAATCCAGGAAGTTGAAGTTCTTGTTACTAATGATTCATAAAGGAGTAAGGTAAGCCTTCAGGGAAATGGTCTCTAAAATGTAACATACACATTTAAATTATGTCAAAAACTATCTGAACAATTAGCACCAACTGTTTCTTTAAATAAAAAGCCAATATACTTGGCTTTAAAGTACATGCCTCAACGAAAACTCGAGGATGTCCTTACCGACTTCGGAACCACCGGATGTATAAATTTTGCCCTCTGCAGCACAGGCGGCCAGGCTGTCTCTAGGGGTTGGAGGTCCCAGTTTGGAATACCAGCTATCCTTCACCACATTATAGCAGTCCATTCGTTTAATGGGGAAAAGCTGAGAGCCACCCAAAATGTATACGACGTTGTCCCAAAACACGCATGCTGCATCTCTTCGTTTTTCAAAAGGACAGCGGATGTCTGTCCAGCTATAGTCCTGTAACAGAAAAACACAGGAAGCTTTCAGTGATGGAAAAATATAATTGAAAAGGATAAAGCAAAGATGTAGTTGAAAAAATGCAAAATATAAGAATATGTTAATTTACTAGAATACATACAAAAATGTTTGGCTTGTGACTATTAATCTAATCTGTGTAATTTTTTTCAGTATGTTGGCAGAGGGCAAGAAGACAGTGACTGTTTTGGGCTTTTTCTGGCTCTAAAATAAACATTAATCCTTTTGGATGTACCATCATCATCCAGCCTCCTATTCCTTCTGTTACTGAGGATAATACAAGAAAATTCTAAATTAAGTAAAGTAGTTTTGTTAATTTAAACAAGCTTTTTTTCAAATATGCTCATACTTTCCCTGCCTGATGTATACAGCGTTATAAAGAATCAATGGTTAATATGAAGTTTAAACTGCCATTATCCTACTAATGTCTAAGGCTAGAAGATACTTTGTGGACTTCTGTGAGATATTAATTTTCTGTAAACATTCAGTTGAGCCAGTGTATTCAGCTGGACGCTTCAAATCGTGATATTTATAATGAAATAGTTGAGTACAGTAGTTCCCCATCATCCATGGTGGATTTGTTCCAAGACCCCCAGTGGATGCCTGAAACCACGGATAGTGCTGAACCCTACACATACCATGTTTTTTTCTATACACACATAACTATGATAAAGTTTAATTTATAAATCAGGCACAGTAAGAGATTAACAATAACTAATAAAATGGAATAATTATAATATACTGTAAAAGTTAAGTGAATGTGAAGTCTCTCAAAATGTCTCACTGTGCCGCACTCACCCTTCTGTGATGAGGTGAGATGGTACAATGTCTAGAGATGAGATGAAGTGAGGTGAGTGATGTAGGCATCGTGACGTAGTGTTCGGCTTCTACTGACTTTCTGACAATACATCAAAAGGAGGATGATTGAGCCATGACTTGGGAATTGTTTATTTCTGGAATTTTCCATTTAATATTTTCAGACCATGGTTGACCATGAGCAACTGAAACTGCAGAGGGTGAACTATTGTACTTCTGTAGTCTGTTCCGAGTAGTTTGGAAACTCCCTTTTTTCTTCCCAGCAATTAGAAATGGGCACCTATCAGTACTTCACAATGACTGTTTGCTGAACCACTCTGTTTCCTCACTATGTCTGATGACATCCAAGGACACCTGCGCCCTTCTCCTATGTAAATGTCTGGGGGAATGCCCCCAAAGTTACAGAACCTTGGATCCTCCCCTCTTTGAGCAAGGAAGCTATAGTGTTCCTGCAGCTTTCTGAAAATGGCTGAAGATAGAAGGGTCAGACAGAAATTCAAACAACTGCCCATCTCAGTGAATAAAGCAGTATGTATGATTATTACGTTCAGTTCTCTTTGGAAAACTAATCAACTGATAGCATGCTAGTATCCTATGTTTCAGGCATTCACGGGATTAGACCGAAGAATCATAGGAAGTGAGTGTTATTAAGATCTCTTAGCAAAAAGAGGAGCCCCTGATGTAGAACACCTTGACTCCTAGTGATGATAAACATTCTGCTTTTTAGGTGATCAGAAAAATAAAGCCTTAATCTATTTTTTTTATTCCCAAATTAGGATCTTTGTGTCCCTCTGGCTCACTGTATGGTATGTGTGTGGGTAGGTGCACCAAACTAGTATACACATAACACCTTCCCAAAGCTTCAGTTTTACTCAATGGATGTTGAAAAACTGAGGAAAAATATTTAAAAAGTGTTTTTTTCTTAGAGAAACTGCATACCACAAAATGGGGAAAAAAAAAAAAGGGAGAAAACAATGACTATATTCTACAGGGAGCAATCCCTCAAAAGTAAACCAATTCTTTTCTTACATATCCTGAAGCTCTACTCACAATTCCTATCTTACCAAGTTCATTACCAGAGACATATAATTAGTAAGATACATCATTAACTCAATGAATCTCAAGTCTTGCCACTCTTACATCTAACATATTGCTATCTATTATTAGAAAGCAATATGACAACTTTTCCACAGTTTCTAAAGATGGCCTCAAGAACATTATTTCCATGCTTTTCCTTATTTAATTTCCGGATGAGAAAATGGGTCAGTCTCCAAGACCTGCTACTCTTCAAATTAAAAATAACTGCCCAGGCAGAAGCTGGGATTAAAACAAACACAATGCTTTTTTCACTAGATAAGCTTGAACAGTTAGATGCTAGGATATGAGGTTCCAAAGAATGAATTCCGGAGTTTGGTAACAGAATAGTTCTAACTTTCTAATCTTACTCAAGGATTTGAGGAGGGAATTAATGCGTGCTCACAGGTATCTGTTCTACAAAGCTTCAGATTTAAGAGTTAACATAAATTGCTCTTTTAGAACTTGAAGTCCATGGGGAAAAGGATTCACTTTTGTATGTGGAGTATGTGTATGTGACACAGGAATAGGCACGTGTTTCCGTCTCCTTGCAGTCTGGGCTACAAATGTCTCTAGAAATCCTTGTGTTTTTAAATCTCTTCTAACTCTCCAAATGCCGTCATTAGTTGGTCATTGTACATGTTAAACACTGAGCTTGATAAACATGAACTATATATGACATTCTGCCTCATAATTCATCTTCTAGGCAGAAAATAAAATAATCTTTACAAGAATTTCTACCTAGAATGCAAAATGGACTTTATTTCAGCTAAAAGTTAATGTTTTACATCTGGGCTCATTAAATCTGTCAGGTGTTAAGTACATCTGTGTTTGAACATACCTGCCTTTGGCTGTATGTATATATGGCGGGGTGGGGGGAAGTTCATGATTTTTTCTCTTTCATGTGTGTATAAGGGTAGATCTCCCTGGGAAGCCTATCTAATTCCTCCAATCTACCTGATACCCCTCATCTAAAAAAGACTACTGAGAAGGTGATTTGATGTTCGCCCATCAGCAACTTCTTATACTGCCTAGGATGTAATGTGTGTAGTTGAGGGGAGAAAAATAGAAGGGAAGTAAGGACTGTCAGCTCAGTGGTTATGAGCGCCGGGTCTTTTCCTAGTGATGTGCCCTCTCCCAACCCAGGGCCTGCGGGTGAAGGGTTTACTCACAGCTCCCTGCACTCCTAGGGACAGGGTGAGCTAAAGCGCACGAGCTTTCTCATTGGCAACAAGACGGACACATAGCACTGGAGTCATAGTGCATGTGTGTGGGCTGGGAATTGCTACCCTAAAAATAGAATTGAATTTAGTTAAGTTTAATTGAGTTTACCTAGTGCATGTGAGGTTCTATGTTTAGCTGCTAAGAACTGATGAAAGTTGGGAGAGTGGAAAGCCTGGAAAAGACACAAGGAGAAGGACACCGCCCCCCCCACCCCCCGCAGAGCTCCCTGGTGTAAAGGACAGTCTTCTGCGGTCCTGGTCGGCTTTTCTGGCCTTGGCTGTACTATAACATGCTGTAGACTTTTTTTTGAGTTCGAGACTTCTTTTCTTTTTGCTGGTTTCTCCGACTTCCCCGCTCTGAACCCCCACCACACCGGCGAGGGGGCTCTCCCTGCCACCCTGTCCTGGGTGGTTTCCCAGCTACAGTGTGACGCTGCAGGAGACTAACCCGCTGCTGGGGAGGGGGTGTCACCGTTGCTCTAAATGCCTCAAGACAAGCACATCCATCTATACTATTTTCTTGAGGGTAAGAACAGACTTTATATAATCTGTATTCTGAAAACACATGAATCCTCAAAAAACAACAATACTATGAGACAGATATATATATAGGTTTCAATAATCAAGACAACCGAAGTCCAAAATTAAAGAAATACTTTTTATTTTTAAGACTTACTTTCTTTTGAATCATTGTGAGAGGAAGCCAAGCAAAATTAGGGAAGACAGGGTCTTAGAAAAAAAGGAAAGAAAAATTAACAAAATGGTAAATAACCTTAAGATTTCTTGCAGAAACCCCAAGGAGCCAATCTGGGTTTAAGATGAGCAAACTGTAAGCACTTTCTCTTAAGCTAGTGTCTGACTTATCTCGGTTTCTAAAGGCTGTCAAAGATAAAATCACAGAACTCTGGTGACAATCTCTATCAAAGGCAGGTTTATGTCAGATGCCAGAACATTCCTAGAAGAGTCATGAAAAATACAAAGAGACACTTTTGGCTTCATTTATTTCACCAGGTCACAAAAAAATATAGCTCTAAGGAACTAGTACACTTGGGCACTGAGCTAGACTCTGTATGAAGGAGCTGTGGGTCTCACAGGAGTCAGTTAAGCTGTCTCTGGATGTTAGTTTCCTTATCTGTAAAACAAGACAACTGGATGATCTCAGGGACCCTCCCTTTTAGCCCTAAGATCCAGTGATCTTGGGGTCCAAATGATTTAGAATGTGTCAATAACAAAGAACCATTATTAACTTATTCAGTACTTCCCTTTCCAGGAAGATGCTGAAATATCTTAAAATATTATCTTACTTCCTCAATAACTCTATGATGTAATACTCTCATTTTACAGATAAGAAAACGAAATCCTAGGGATGTTACATATCTTGTCAGAGGCCACAGAGTTAGAGAGTGGTGAATCCAAGATTTAAGTCAAATCTATCAGACTCCAAGGCTGGGCTCCTAACCCCTACACTGCTCTGCTCATCTTAAGATCCTCTTACTTGGCAGCCGGGAGTGAACACCGGGCTGGGAGTGAGGCATTCTGGGTTCCTGTCATTTCTGTTGTGTTTCTAGCTATGTGCCTGGGCATCTGACTTGGAGAAACCCCTCGCAACCTCATCTATAACATCGGGACGTTGGCAGGATGGCCGCTGAGGTCCTGCACAGCCTCCATCCACATCTTATAAACACACCGATCGACCACTAAAACCACAGGTTCTCTGAAACCAGGGGATTTTCTCCACATCTTGTGTGGTATTTGGCCTGGGGCTTAGCATGTTTAAGGGAATGTTTTGTATTGGCTCACAGGCCACATCTGTAGAAAAGTGTATCTCGTCCAGCTGAGCCACCTTCATTTTTGATCTTCTAAAGGTCA